TTCCTCCCTGTGATGCATAAATTTTACAGATACGGAACTTAATTTGGCTTCACTCCAACAGATTCTGAATGAGAATTACAAGTCAGATTCGTCATACAAGTGAGTTCACTGTATTAGAATATTTTGGTAGTTAAACAGATGTTATTTCACCTTTGGGGGTTTTTTTTTTCTCGAAATTTTTACAACTAGCAGCTTTCCTTTTTATGCGTTTTTTGCATCTGTGCAGTGCAAAAACGCATATTGTCGAGGGGTTTCTGCGTGTTCGTCTATACCTATTTTACATCTTGAGACCTACAAAGGCTATGGGGATGAAACTTTGGGAACTTAATTTGCATTCACGTACGGATTCCCATCCCCGAAAAGGGCATTACTAACCACGTGGTTCCACGTAGTTTTTGGCAGATAAACTGCTAACTCGAGAACCAAGAAAGCTAAAAAGTTGAAATTTTGAGGAGATGTTTCCTGACAATCCTGGCGGCCAGTTTTAGTTCTTTTAGCTAGAAGCATTTGCCGGAAAAAACAGTGCTATTAGCGACAAAAACTTGCGGGGAACTATGCAAAAAACGCATCTTTGCACCGGCAGTCGGTGTGCTGGCCAATTATTTTTTTTTTCATTGGCATCTTTCACGGGCATGATTTTGTGTACCGTTCAGACGAGCTCTTCCTTTGCATTATTGGACTTCTCTGTTCTTTTTACGTTGCGCGAGTACAATCTAGTAATTCATATTGTTCACTTTTCTGACCCGCTCCACCTAATTAATCCAGTTCTTTGCTTGCCAGCATACGCTGCTTTGATAATACCATTCATACTAGATGACTATTAGATGTACTTCATTAGAGATGTGCTACAACATGCAGCCACTTGCCATGTGTCCCTTTTTTAGCGGCAATTGTTTCTCCCCAACAAACATAGTATTCCCTTTTTTACTTCCACAGAACTGGTTGAAGGAATGGTATTGATACTGAAAAACATGACTCGTGACAGTGAGTAATATCCATCTTGCTTTTTTTTTTCTGCTTAACTCCAAGCTCAACTCACTATTCATCGTTATCGTCTTTCCCGGGTAGATGTAGTTTTTTATAGGTCGACCTGGAAAAATTGCAGTTCTTCATTTACTTTGTTTCTCCTCTATGAATTTAGTATCTAATTTCCCTCCTCTTGGCCGCAAGCTCATTTAGCAGCTTCTACAGTGCCTGTGAGTATTCTGCGATGAGCGAATTGTTATCTTCTTAAATAAGCATTTGTAGCGTCTCATCGTCAGCGCAAAATCTTTTATTGCTTCAGATGCTTTTATTTGCGCTATTGCGTTCTTTGGGACACGAAAATCGTCTTTCGCCTGTGTCCATTCATATTTTTACAGACTCCTCCAAAAGTATATGTTTCAGTGAGAAAGTCTGATGGCAGCTTATTTCTAAAAATTTCTGGGCCTCATCCTAAATCTTCTTCCACTTATGAAGTTCCTTGCATTGAAGTTATTGGCTCTAAAAATTTTGTTTTTTTCCGAACATTCCGGATTAGTATTTCGATTTTGCAGTCCCACTCACACTTTTCCACTTCATTAAAGTATATATTTAGTCGTGCAGACGTGCAGACTCGACATGCATTGACAGCAAGTGGCGCAAATTGGGTGACGCTTGTAACAGCACAGAGCAGAGCTAGTTCGTTGCAAAAAAGTGCTCTCAGCGCTGGTTAGTTTTGCATAAATTCCAGCCTGTATAAATCAAAAAACAAAACATCCTTCATGCTCATGCTCCTTGAGAGGTCTATTGCCTGCACGGATGTCGATGGCTCACTCTTTCGATAACTGCTTGTAAACAAGTTAATGGCGCTTTCGATTGCCCAACATGCGGCAATATCGGTTAATCGCCAAAGAGCATGAATGAATCGTCGAGGAACTGATTGTCCTAATGGCAAAACCGAACCTTCAGCCTCCAGTAGTACTAACTGCCACCGCGATTTTTTAAATTCTGCGGTTCTTCGCAAAAGAAAACAAGAAATCTGAAACTAATGTTTTATCACTTTGTCCTAGAAATACTTGAAATGAAAATCCTAGAAATTTTTATAGCAACAGAATTGATTTTAAAGTTCATCAGGACAGCTTCCAAATTTTTTAACTCTCAATTGAAAGTAGGGACTAGCATATTTTGTAATTTTCAGTGTGTTATGCAACTTTTTACGGCTTTTTTTTTTCATGTCCTGCGTATGCCTTTTCTTTCTTTTTCTTAGAACTCCACATCTGTG